GTGCCCTGGGGGGCGAGGCGGGGGGCCGATCTGTGGATCCGATTTGGGGTTTGTGGGCTCGAAGGGATGGTTTTTTAAAATTTAATTTTATTTAAATTTAGCAAGCTGATGGCTTGTCACGCGCGGGTTGTGAGTGAAAACCGAGGTGTTTTTCATGGATGCAGTGGTTTTTGTTTTTGTTTTCCTCCTTTGGTTTTGGGCGGATCTGCCTCCGCGGCGCTGAGGTTAAAGGCGTGAGCCAGCCTGGCCCGCTACCTGGGTGCACAGCTCTAAAAACGACCTTCAACATAGCAAAACAACTTGGGAGCCTGGCTCCCTGGAGGCGCCTAGCACGCAGCTCCCCGCCTTAAATGCTCAAGTGCCGTCTGTGGTAGTAATACAGAGTAACTTTAGCCAGGAAACCCTCTTCCCTCAGGTCGCACGCTCTGCTGCCATGAAGGTGAAGATTAAGTGCTGGAATGGTGTGGCCACGTGGCTCTGGGTAGCCAACGATGAGAACTGTGGCATCTGCAGGATGGCGTTTAATGGCTGCTGTCCAGACTGTAAGTGCCCCCCCTCCCCCGTGCTCTCAGAACTTCGGCCAGCTCCACCAGCCTTGAAAACCTTGGGTTTCCCAGCACTAGGGAGGCAGAGGCAGGAGGATCTCCGAGATTCCAGGACAGCTAGGGCTACGCTGAGAAACCCTGTCTCGAAAAACTAAGAAAACCAGAAAATAAAACCGTGGGTTTTACTTTCCATTTCCTGAAGGAAAGTTGACAGAAAATAAACGAATTCTTCAAACTCACTTTTGTATAAAGACCCTATCCAGCATGGTGGCAAACATCTGTAATACCAGCATTTGGGAGCAGAAACAGGTAGCCTCTGAGTTGGAGGCTACATAATGAGAGTCTGTCTGTAAAAACAAAGAAAAGCAAATAAACAAAAACAACACTTTTGTTTTTGCCAAGGCATGGTGGCACAGACAGAGGCAAGAGGAGGCTTGAGTTTGAAGCTTGCCTGGGATACATTGTGATGATTGGTCATTCTCTTAATTCCTCAAAATGCTACTTCCAGTTTGAATTTTCTCCAAGCAAAGCAGAACAAATGAGGATACCCCTGCCCAGCACACTGAAGTTCAGACAGCAGTTTCCATACTTTAAGTTGATGCTTATAAACTATGAGCAACTTAAGCCCCGTGTCTCACAAAGCTGCTCTAGCATCCTCGTTCCAGCATCTTTCCCCAAATGTCTTGTTATTGGGGTTTGAGCCATTCTTGACATCTCAGGACTCTCAGCTCTCTGTTCTAAATACTTCTTACTATTCTTGTTTTCCAGGCATTTGAGCTTTATGAATTTAATGTTTTTCAGAATGCAAAAGGTCTTTATTTATTTATTTATTTATTTATTTATTTAGAGACAGGTTCTCAGTATGTAACCCTGGCTAGATTGAAACTCATTATGTAGATCAAAGGTCACAGAGATGCCTGCCTCTGCATCCAGAGTGCTGGGATTAAAGGTATGAACCAATGTGATCTCCCAGCCTGGTTTATCAGCCCAGAGTTAATCATCTTGATGCAATTAAAGAGCTGTGACTTGACTTTTTTTATTAATTTATATTTTACATTCGAATCCTAGTTCCCCCTTCTGCTCCTCCCACTCCCCCCCCATCTGCTCCTTGGAGAGGGTAAATCCTCCCCTAGGAAGTCTACTAAGTCTCCCCTATCATCTTCTTGAGGCAGGACCAAGGCACCTCTCCACCCCCACACCCCTGTGTCTAGGCTGGGCAAGCTATCTCTCTATAGAGAATGGGCTCCACTGAGTCAGTTTGTGTATTAGATTAGCTCTTGGACCCACTGCCACTGGCCTCATATTTGTCATTTGTCTTTTTTTTTTTTTTTTTTTTTTTTTGACAGGATTTCAGTATGTAACCCTGGCTAGCTTGAAACTCACTATGTAGATCAGTCTGGTCTCAAGATAAAAGAGATCCGCCTGCGTCTGCATCCAGAGTGCTGGGATTAAAGGCGTGTACAGCTCAGATCACCTAACCTGGTTTATTGGCTAAGAGTTAATTATCTTGATGTAATCAAGATAATTATCTTGATGTAATTAAAGAGTCTCTTTTCCTTTTCTTTTTTGATTTTTAAGACAGGGTTTCTTAGAGTCCTGTGCCACCACTGCCCAGCAAGTGTGAGTTTCTTAGGAATTCATTGATTTTTCTGGTTTAAGTTTTTATTTATAACATTTGTGATTAGTAACTGAACACACAGTTCTAGTTTTTATTTTCAACAGAACACTTGTAGATTTTTGTTGTTTTTTGTTGTTGTTTTTAAACAATTTTTTAAAGATTTTATTTATTTATTATGTATACAACATTCTGCTTCCATGTATATCTGCACACCAGAAGAGGGCATCAGATCTCATTTTGGATGGTTGTGAGCCACCATGTGGGTGCTGGGAATTGAACTCAGGACCTCTGGAAGAGCAGCCAGTGTAACCTCTGAGCCATCTCTCCAGCCCCAATTGCTGTTGTTTTTTGAGACAGGGTTTCTTTATGTAGCTTTGGCTGTCCTGGAAGTATCTCTGTAGACCAGACTGGACTCAACTCACAGAGGGCCACCTGCCTTTGCTTCCAAGTGCTGGGATTAAAGGTGTGTGCTACCACTGCCTGTCACAAATGTAGGTTTATTAAGGAAAAATAAGAAGGAACTCTCAAGAGTGTGAAGGCTAAAGGGAGGGAATACTCTTCATCATTCAATTAATTTCTCATTTGATGGTACTGGGTATTGAGCACCGGGCCTAGCATGTGCTGTGCAAGTTCTCTACCACTGAGCTGTATTCCCAGCCCATTTTATTTTATTTTATTTTATTTTATTTTTGAGACTAAAGGCGTGTGCTACCACTGCCTGGTTAGAAGGAATCTTTATTTAACAGAGCCACAAAGAGTATAGGAGTCAGAGGACAATGGCTTGTTTGTAGCTTCTGTAGCATTAGACTGTTAACTTGTAAAAACTTTCAGGAGGTTTTCCAGCCACTCCCACCTTCAGGCAAAGGGTGGAAGTTAAATCTGTAGATTGAAGGTGACTCCATTGTCCCCAGAGCTACCCAGTCTTACCTGGGCATAAATGACCCACACATGGGGCTGCAGAACACAGTCTGGATTACCCCATCTAGGTCTGTGACAAAAGGGATGACCAGAAAGCATGTCTAGGCACTTAGTGTCTCATATGTGTGAGGTAAACTCAGGCCTGTTGGCCGTGTAGAGTGGGAGACTTAGTCCAGCTCATAGCTGGTTCAAGTGAGAGGGAGTTGACTTTAATGTGCCCAGCGCTGATAGGCCCAGTGTGTTTTCTTGATAGATTCTGTAAGCACCAGATTTCTCACAGATTAAACTCCTGTGAAAATTAAGTTAGCAAGGCCTGTAATAAATCTGTTTCAGGTCCCAAGGGGCTTTAAGGTAAAGCAGTCTTGTCAAGAGGTATTTTAATTAATTAGAAAAATAATTTCATCAGGGCACTGCCAAACTCTGAGCATGAGTCATTCTCAGTGCACACCATACTCATCAAGTACTCTGGCTTGTCGCCGTAGGGACATCTTGAGCATAGGGCAGCACCTTCCTCCCTCCACAGGACCACCCACAGATGAGCCAGCTCAGTGATCCTTGTTGGTGAGCTAGTTGGGTGAAAGTCTGATTGGAAAAGGGTGATCTCAAACAGAGTTCTGCTGAAGTTAGGAGCCAGCAGCGGCACACACGCCTTTAATCCCAGCACTGTGGAGGCAGAGGCAGAGGACAGCCAGGGCTACACAGAGAAAACCTGTCCTGATAAACAAAACAAAGAGGAAAAAAAAAAAAAAAGACAAAGGAAGGAAGGAAGGCTCAGCATAGGTGTGACAGACATTGGGCTGGTACCCCAGGATGCACTGGGTGCTGCCTCGTTGGTCCAGGCTGATACTAATGTGGGGTGGGACCTAAAGGTGTCCTGTGCTCTCCTCCAGTAGGTTGTCTAGGCTGAGGAAGTCAGGAATACTTGTTTGCTCGTTTTTTGAACAGTCTCATGTCTCTTTGTATCGAAGGTTGGCTTCAAAATTCTTATGTAGTTGAGTATGACCTTGAATTCCTTCCTGATCCCATCTCACAAGTGCTGGGATTTCCCAGTTATGCAAAGCTGGGGGTAGAATTTGGCACTGCGTGCACGCTAGGCAGCCATTCTGCCAATGGGCTGTATTCCCACCTCCCTGGTCTCCCCTTTTATTTGTTTTTTAGTTTTACTGAAAAACAGGAGATTTATCTATTTTCTTGTATGTGTATGGGTGTTTTGCCTGAATGCCCATCTGTATTTGCCACATGCATGCAGTGTCTGTGGAGACCACAAGAGGGTGTTGGCTCCCCTGGAACTGAAGGTACAGATGGCTGTGAGCTGCCACACCTGTGGAAGCTGGGCAGGGAGCCTGGGGCCTGGGCAGGGTCAGCACGTGCTCTAAGTGCTGGGCCATCTTCATAGCCCCTGATTAGTGTTGATTGTGACATGGACGTTGTCCACCTCTGGCCGGGCTTTCTCCATGGAGGAAGGGTTTCCAGGCTTGCAGAGTGGGTGCCTGCAGCCTGTGCTCCTGGGTTTGGATGGCGGTAGGAGAGTCGCGGAATCAGGTGAGAAGGTGAAGGTAACACACTTAGTCCCATCAGTAGGCGTCCCACGGACACCAGTGTCTGTCCCCAAGGCCCTGGTAGTGCAGTAGATCTCTGGTGTCCAGGGAAAGAGCTTTCCAGGTTCCAGGACGCCTCTAATGAAGACAAAGAGTTCCCTACTCAGGTTGTGAACCTTTGGCATCTTGGGTTTTTTGTTTTGTTTTGTTTTGTTTTGTTTTGTTTTGTTTTTTTGGTTTTTCGAGACAGAGTTTCTCTGTGTAGCTTTGGAGTCTATCCCAAGGTATTCTGTGATACCTTATGGGTATCACAGAAGGTCTTCAACAGAAGGGTGTAAGGGAGGCACTGGAAACAAATGGACCAGGCCAGAGTCCCCCTCTCTGAGAGCACGCACTTGGTAATGAGGGAGTAACTGCAGACAGGGTTTCTCTGTGGCTTTGGAGCCTGTCCTGGCACTCGCTCTGGAGACCAGGCTGGCCTCAAACTCACAGAGATCCTCCTGCCTCTGCCTCCCGAGTGCTGGGATTAAAGACGTGCGCCACCACTGCCCGGCAACTGCAGATCTTTTATGCAGTGGGCCACACCTGACTTGGGTCGCACTCGTACTTTTTCTGTCCTCTGATGGAGGAGGAGAGAGAGGCTCTGCCTGTGGCTTAGAGCTGTTACCTGCTTGGCTGTCTGGCTGCTCTCCTAATGTCTTCCCTCTGGCCCCTCTCGCAGGTAAGGTGCCTGGCGACGACTGCCCCCTGGTGTGGGGGCAGTGCTCACACTGTTTCCACATGCACTGCATCCTCAAGTGGCTGAACGCGCAGCAGGTGCAGCAGCACTGCCCCATGTGCCGGCAAGAGTGGAAGTTCAAAGAGTGAGGCCCGCCCCGCCCGCCCCGGGGCCAGTTCCCTGCCCACTGCAGCACTGCAGGCTCCGCCCCTTCCCTGAGATCCCGCCCCCTCCTCACAGTGGTACCCGGGACCTTGTTCTGTCATGGGGACAAGGATGCTTTCCCTTGGGCTGAAACAAGGTTCACTTGGCTTTTGTTTTGCTTTGTTTTGTTTCTTCCATTGCGTCATTGACACTTTTATTCAATAAGTAAAACTCATTAAAGTTCTGAGCCTTGCTGGAGGCCCTTGGTTGCCGGTTTTCTTGACATATTGATACGGCAGCAGCATGTTTTGGTAGGAAAATGCTTATGAATAAACATCTTGATGAAATTACTGCCAAGGCCTTCATGGTAACCTGAGTCACAACTCAGAAGCAGGAAAAGTTGAAGAGACTAAGCCAGGGGAGCTGGGCAAAGACCTTAGGGTTTGTTCGGGCTCATCAGCTTCCCTAACATAGGGGACCCCAGCCCTAGCTGAGCAAAGCTGGCAACCACCCTTGAGGAGCTGTTCTGGTTGTAGGGAGAGATAGCTAAGCAGGCACTAGTGATGTCCAGATATTTGGGGACTCCAGCGTGCTGTTCAGAGCCCCTTGCCTCTTCCTCAGGCTGAAGGCCAGATCTAGTGCAGGAGGATTTGGGTCCTCTGGTGTCTTAGGAATGGATAGCCCTTTGGAAACTCCTTTTCTACATCTGAGGATTATCACCCATTAGGAGAACAATAGCCCCAGCCCTAGGGTGTCTGGAAGCTCCTGGTTGGAAACCGATTTAGGCTGGTATCAGAGAGTTCTGGTCCCCTCATCACATTGTCTTCACGGACTCAGTGACCATTGCCAGTGTGAACACGTTTGCAGGCCACATGTGCCCTACAGCTTGGAGAGTAGACCAATAGGGGCAGGGCTCCATGTGTGTTGGCTATGAGACCTGCTGTTTACTCTGTATGGTGCCCTTGAGATACTCCTACTTGACTGCTTGGTTATCTGTAGCATGCTAGTCCTGGAACTGGCATCAGTTATCAGGAGCAGAGATGGGGTGTAACTCAGCCTGCAGATACCCAGGAGCTGCAGAGAGGAGCCAGGATTTGGGGTTTTGAAGCTCCTTGGGCTGACAGGTCTGGTCCATCTTAGCTAGTTTTTTCTATCCCCAGCCTGCTCACCCTCTTGGAGTGGCTTCCATGCTTGAACTAGGAACCTTCTGTGGGGAATTCACCATTCTGGGTCATCCTCTCTGAAGCTGAGGTCTTTATCTTACCAGGCACACCTCAGTGTCCTCTATGGCTACACGGCTTCAGTCTGGGTGCCTTAGACTTAAGTCTTTCTGATCTGTTATCTCAGGGGTTCAGTCTGGGTGCCTTAGACTTAAGTCTTTCTGATCTGTTAGCTCAGGGGTTCAGTTGGTCCTACAGGGCTTCAGTCTGGGTGCCTTCGACTTAAGTCTTTCTGATCTGTTAGCTCAGGGGTTCAGTTGGTCCTACAGGGCTTCAGTCTGGGTGCCTTCGACTTAAGTCTTTCTGATCTGTTAGCTCAGGGGTTCAGTTGGTCCTACAGGGCTTCAGTCTGGGTGCCTTCGACTTAAGTCTTTCTGATCTGTTAGCTCAGGGGTTCAGTTGGTCCTACAGGGCTTCAGTCTGGGTGCCTTCGACTTAAGTCTTTCTGATCTGTTAGCTCAGGGGTTCAGTTGGTCCTACAGGGCTTCAGTCTGGGTGCCTTCGACTTAAGTCTTTCTGATCTGTTAGCTCAGGGGTTCAGTTGGTCCTACAGGGCTTCAGTCTGGGTGCCTTCGACTTAAGTCTTTCTGATCTGTTAGCTCAGGGGTTCAGTTGGTCCTACAGGGCTTCAGTCTGGGTGCCTTAGACTTAAGTCTTTCTGACCTGTTATCTCGGGTTCAGTTGGTCCTGTCCACAGGGTCAGCTCAACTCATCTCACATCCCCAATTTCTCTAGAGACCAGAAAACTGTAACTAACCCTGGGCATATACCTTCCCTGCATATGGGGGTCCCTGGTTTCTCCCCTTTTTCTTCTCCATTGTTCTTCTACCCTTTTCTTCCAAAAAGGTCAGGACACCTGATAGAATCCCATCACTACAACTTGTGCTCTCCCTGAACCCCTTTCGCAGGCTGAAACAGCAGGTACCGTACAGCCGGGCGTTGGTGGCACACGCCTTTAATCCCAGCACTCGGGAGGCAGAGGCAGGAGGATCTCTGTGACTTTGAGACCAGCCTGGTCTACAAGAGCTAGTTCCAGGACAGGCTCCAAAGCCACAGAGAAACCCTGTCTCGAGAAAAAAAAAAAAAAGAAGAAGAAAGAGGAAGAAGGTTCCATACATAGCTTAGAAGAAGAAAGGGAGAAGGAGAAAAAGAAGGAGAAGGCCCCGTACATAGGTAGCTTATGCCACTGACCTAGGCAGGCTCTCTCCATGCCTCCTCTGATGCGCCTGTACCTGCCCTGCCTGGTCAGGGACTGTGTCCTATTCATGATCTGACCTCTACACACAGCACATGTCTCTTACACATTACTGTCCTGTGTCCAGCATTTGAACCACTGCTCCCTAACTACACAAGTGCTAAGTTTACAGGGCAGGACCTGGGGCCACAACCCCCTGGGGCAGAGTAGACAGGGCAGGACCTGGGGTCTGGGTTTGTCTGCTCAGGTTTTTCTGAAGGCTGGAACATGAGTTTGAAGCTTCTCCTCCTCATACAGGACAACTCAAGTAGCAGTACCTTCCACCATAAGCATGAAACAAAATAGCCCAGCCTGGCATTTTTGAAGATGGCATAAGAGTTATTTTCCCAGGTCCAAGGCCCACAGAGTGAGACTTTATTGTTGAGACTGGCATATGACCAGAAGAAAAATAATCAAGGTGGTCCCTGGGCTGGCTAGTTTTATGTTAACTTGATATAAGTTAAAGTCATCTGAGAGAAGGGAACCTCAACGGTGAAAACACCTCCATCGGATTAGGCTGTAGGCAGGCCTGTAGGCCATCCTCTTTCTTTCTTGTTTACTATATATAATTTCTATTTTATGTGTGTGAATGTTTTACCTGCAAGCATGTCTGTACCACATGCATTCATTCCCGCAATGCCTGCAGAGGCCAGAAGACAGATACCTTGGAGGCAGAGTTACAATTGTGAGCTGCCATGTGGGTGCTGGGAATTGTACCTGGGTTCTCTGGAAGAGCAGCCAGTGCTCTTTAAGCAACAAGCCATCTCTAGCCTGGAAAAAAAATGTTTTCCCCAAGACAGGGTTTCTTGTTTAACATCCCTAGCTGTCCTGGAACTTACTTTGTAGACCAGGCTGGTCTCCAACTCACAGAGATCCACCTGCCTCTGCCTCCCGCGTGCTGGGATTAAAGGTGTGCGCCACTACACCTGGTGGAAATTTTCTTAATTGGTGATTGATCAGGGAATGCCCAGCCCATGTGGGTGGTCCTGGGTTATATAAGAAAGCTGGCTGAGGAAGCCACGAGGCTTCCATGGCCTCTGCATCATGCTCCTGATTCCAGGTTCCCCTGCCTCGGCTTTTCTCTGTATGCAGGATATGGAAACCAAATGAAACCTTTTCCTCCTGAAGTTGCTTTTGGTTATGTTTCATTACAGCCTAAGTAATCCCACCCTCTGGCCAATTAGACTTGGACCTAAAAAGGAGGGCAGTTCAACAGGAGGGAGGGAGAGATTGGCCTCAAGGTGTAGGAGATCCCACTGATCATCCATCCACGCACAGCCTGTGCCCCACTGCCACTCCTCCCTGTTGCCCCCCCGTCCCGCCCCCGCGCCCGCTGCAGATAAAAAGCCCAGCCTGGCTCACAGACTACATCCCCTGCTCCCGCCCGCCTCACAGCTCCATGGCCCGGTGCGGGACGCTGGTGGTCGCCGCCCTGGCGCTCATCTCGCTGCTGCCGCCGCCGGCCCTTGCATGGTACAAGCCTGCGGCGGGACCCCACCACTACTCGGTGGGCCGCGCCTCGGGGCTACTGTCCAGCTTCCACAGGTCCCCGTCCACACGACGCTCCGAGTCGCCAGCACTCCCTGTCGGAACCGGACCGCTACGCTTGGAGATGCGCTCCAGCCTAAGGAGCCTTGTGAGTGCAAGCAGGCGGTGGGTGGCGGGAGCTGGTGGGGCAGGAGCTGGCCCTCAGCCTCCACCGCCCACCCAGGCCCTGTGTGTCAAAGACGTGACCCCGAACCTGCAGAGCTGCCAGCGGCAACTCAACAGCCCAGGGACTTTCCAGTGTAAGGCGGACGTCTCCTTGTCGCTGTGGGAGGCGGAATGCCCTCGGCCTGAGCCCTGAACCCCAACCCCAACCTCGGCTGGCTGTGGTGGGTGACCCCCCTGCTCACTCTTGCTTGAAGCTGCAGCAGGCCCTGTCATGTGAGTTGGCGTTTGTTTCCCCCCCAACTCCTACCATGCTCCACAGCAAGTAGCTCAATGAATAAAGAAGCAAAACCGTCGCGGCTGAGGGTGGCTGACAAGTGCCCCTGTGAGTTGGGGTTATGACCCAGCCTCTGGCCAGGCTGTGTCTTCCAATAACAGTCCAAGTTCACAGACTCTTCTAGGAAGCCCTGCTGTGTCCTGCCTCACCCCAGGTGACTCCCGCTTCTGGGATTCCTACTGCCCCCAACCCTAACCTTGTCTTCCACACTTTGAAGTCCCTCCCAAAGACCCTGAAATACTAAGCACATAGCTACTGTGTGTTCAGCAAATAGAGAGGACAAGAAGTGAGTGCGGTATTCAGGTCCATAACTGCCCGGGAGCCCTTAGACCCGCCACAAAACTGGACACAAGCTTTCAGGCCTCACGGCTCTGGACCACCCCACGCCCCACCCCCACTGCCCTGAGAGCCAGAGGACTGACTATAAGGCTCAGTGACCTGCCTGGTCCACCCCTCACACATTCTGGGTGCCGGGTCACAAAGCCAAGTGGGCAGCTGACTTGAGTTCTGCCTCCAGCTGCTTCTCTTTTGCCCAAGGCAAACACCAGGTGCAATCTTCAGGACCTGAGTCCTGGTCTGAGTGGCTGAGCTGGCTGTGGGGCATCTTTCTCTCCATGGTGTCCTCATCAGCCACACCCCACCCAGGAGCATAGCATGCCTGCCTATGCAGTGTTCCTCTGGGGACCAACCCCTGAGTCTAGGTAGCAACACCCAGGTGGCATCCTTGACCTCCTCAGGGTGTTCCACAGCCCAGGGATCTTAGTGTGGGCACCATGCCATTCCTAGTAGGCAGCAGGGTTGAGGTAAGGAAGGAGCACTGTCCAGGGTGGAGGTGTGTGTGCCCCTCCTCCAGATCGGCTCTCCTGCCTCAGGGAGGGAGGTGGTAGGGCAGGTCTAACCTGCAGTGGCTGGGATAGGGCAGCACCACCAGAAGCCTGCTTGGGAGTCAGTTGCTTCATCACTGAGCCAGTCTCCCCTGCAGTCAGCCACCAAGAGGCAGCCATAGGAGCCTCAGCAACCACTGGACTCCATGTGGGCCTGCGAGGGTGCCAAGATCTAGACCCTGTGGTCTACAGCAGAGCCGGGGCATGTGTACAAGCCGCACAGCTTCCTGACCTGGGCTCTTCCTTCTCTAAAAGGATTCCTGCTGTGGACGGGTTTCCTGCTTCTTCGGGGGCTTGGAGGCCACAGAGCACTTCCCACCAGGATTTATTCAGTTGTGCCAAAAAGATTTACAGCAGCCACTGAGGTACAAAATGAGGACCAGAAGTCTGTGCAGAGAACAGTCAAGCTGGCCCAGCCACCGGGGCAAGTGCGTCTTCTAGGAATCAGGAATGGGGTGCTAGAACGTGCCCCAAAGTAGAGGGTACCCACTTGCAGGGTGACCCAGGACAAGAGGTCCCCAAAGTCATCCCTCTGAACCTCTGAACCTTTTCACCAAAGCTGGGTGGGCAGCTTCCAGTCAGGCGGGAGGGGTGTGTCCCAGACAAGACTAGGGCAGTGGCAGTTGGAACTGTGGATGCCAAGGACACATAGCAATACTCCTCCAGTCACAGGTGCCCTCTGCTTATCCTGTCCACTGGGCTGCTTCACTGTGTGAGCCACCCTCTCTGGGCAGCTCACCCTCCAGCAAGGCAGCTTCCTCTGGAATTGTGTGAGCTGACACCAAGACACAGCAGCAGGGCAGGGCGGGGCGAGAAGAGGTGGGCACAGGGCGAGGGCTTGAGTAACATCCTCCAGGTCAGAAGCTAGGCAGTGTCCCCTGCAGGCTGTGCCTCCTGCTGCCTCATGGCCTCCAGAAAGGCCAATTCCTTGGCTTCTTTCTTCTGATTCCGAGCTTCATACTCCAACCTGGGGCCAGACAGGTATAAACTGGGCCTCTCCAATCTTGGGAGTCGAACACTGCCTGCCCACCCAGCGTGGGAGGGGACACGCACCTGTTCTTGATGATCCTTTGCACGATCAGGTCTGTAGTGAGGTTGCTGCCACTGTCGATCTGCCGGAAGATTCCTCTCCTCTTGGGCTCCTGAAGGCCTCAATGCAAACAGAAGAAGGTGGGAACCCCCTGACTACAAAGACACCCCTGGGTGCTCCTCCACCCATGAGAGACCAATACCAGGCAACCCACCTGGTAAGGGTCAGAGCCATCCCTGTCAGGTACAATTTCTGTCTTCCCATGACATACGAGGTCCACCTGCGGGGAGGAAGCAGGGCCAGGAGGCTTCCTCAGAGAAGGTATACCACCACTGACAACCACCTAGGGCTAGCCTAGGAAAACTGGCCCTGGCCAACCCAGACAGGAGCCTCTAGGAACCTTGGCATCATGCCGTGCTCAGCCAGAGGGCAGCCTCACCTTGAAGTGACCCAGGAGCTCTGCTGTGACCGAGTATGGCGCCCCAATCACCACTTCTGAAACATACTACAGAGACACAGCCAGTAAAGCAACTCACTCAGTCCTCATTTCTGGCAAGCCAGGGCGGAAAAGGCCCCAGGGGAGCCAGTTGGGACAGGGCTACGTAGCAGGGGTCAGGGGGGCAAAAGGAATCCTCAGACTCCTCAGTAGGGGAAAGAAACTGTACCAATAGGGCCTGGCCACACTCCACCTCTTACTGGGCAGGTGGATGCCCTGCCCTGCCCTGGCTCAGAGAAGCCTGGCTCCCACATCACTCACCCGGCAAGCCAGCACGCTCAGAGTCCGCTCATGCAGGTTCATGATGGGGTAGTTCTTGCCCTTGTATCGGTTTACTTCCTAGGGCCGGGAGTTTGGCTCAGCTAAGGACTGGTGCCCTCCCTCCCAGCTGGCCTTCTGGGCAGAAGCCGGGAGAGCCACCCCCCTCACAGGAACACCCTAGGCAGGGCTATCCTGGACCCCAGAAGAGAACCACACTTGCCTTCACTAGACACCGGGAGCCTCACTCCTTTAGAGGCTATCTGTGCCCAACCCTGACCCCACCAAGGCCCCATGAGGGATCCCACAGCCCATCAGCTGATAGGGTGCTGAGAGGCAAGCAAGCAGAAAGGCAGAGACCTGGTCAAAGTGTAGGCCGGCGATGATGTAGGGCCTCTTGGCCAGCTTGTACACCTCCTCTAGGAAGTCCACGTGCCCAATGTCTACATCCGGATTAAGAAGCAGTAACTAGCTGTGTATGACGGTGTTTTCCCGTAAACCCAGTACTTGCAAGGTGGAGGCAGGAATATTGCAAGTTTTCTAGACCAGCCTGGACTACACAGGAAAACTGCCTCAAAAAAGCAAGGCCTGGGGTTGTAGCTCAGCAGTAGATCACTTATCTCGGACAGAGCCCCGGGTTCCATCCCAATCTGGGGGGTGGGGGGTGCGGTATGGGGTGAGGGTGGTGGTGGTGGTTGGGTGGCAGGGGAGGCAGCAGTGATGGACTCGGAAGGGAGGGGCTCTGTCCTCAACAGTGTGTACCCAAGGGACTCCCTGTCATTTTCCCTTGTGAGGGCCATGTCCCCTACAACCTAGCTCAATCCTGGAACCCTGGAGTCTAGGGGTTCCCATCCTGTAGCACAAATGTGGGGCAGCAGAGGCCCTAAGAGGATACGGAACAGGTCAAAGGCACCGGCCACGTAGATGACTGTCTCCCCAGGCTGGGGCTCCTTCCCAGAAGCAAACTGGATGATCTTCTGGGATGTCTGTAGAAACTGGGACACCCCTGTCCAGGGGTTCTGCCCCCCGGGGCACTATTAGCCAAGAGAAGGAACCAGTCAGTGGTAGAGGCCTCTATGTGTGCCCCTTACCCAGCACCCTCCCCAGGGCTCGGGAGTCCAGGGCTCCCTGTGCCCCTGTCATAGGTGTGGGTGAGGGAGCAAAGAGCATTCGAGGCTGGACTCCCCACAACCCCGGCCTGCAAATCACCCAGCAGCACAGCTGGGGGCTATGTCCAGGCAGGTACTTGGGGCAAGGGCAGGGACACACCATGGTAAGGCCAAGCAGGACCACTGTAGCTAGTAGGACTGTGGCTCCACCCGGTGGCCACAGAAGATACTGCAGTCAGCACCAGCTCTGCCTGGCAACACACCACCAGGAGCAGGCGCAGAGCCCAGTGGCCAGCAGTCACAGCCCTCTGAGGGACCCGGCACCCTGAGGCCACCATCTGGTCACCTGGGAGGAGACTTCTGAGGAAAGTGTGTCCCCGGCAGGTGTCGGGTGAGGGGGCTACAAAGGGAGAGAGGGCCAGGCCATTTGGTTAGATGCCACCTGTAGGCGGGCAGTCCTTGCTGCTCCTCCAAGAAGTGGCTGGTGGGACTGGCCACCTCTTGCCTGTCCTCCCTCCCAGCATCCACAGCACTGGGAAAGAGAGGGAGGAGGGCACACAGCAAAGCTCTGGGTCAGCCTTTCCCCATGGGAAGGAAGCCTAAGGTGGACAGACGGACGGACCAACAGGGAGTGCTGTGTGGTAGCTAGTCAAGTGTGTATTTCCAGAGTGGCCTCTGCAGCCAGGCTCTACTCACCTTGCCAAAACTGTCAGCATATTCCCGATACTCCGAGGACATCTCCTGCACACAAGGGCAAGAGACTAAGGTCCCCTGACTGCCAACCATGGGGACCAGCAGGCCTCAGCCCCAGAGCTCCACCACAGGATTGTCAGGGAGAGAAACAGGGCAGACCCAAGGGTGCTTAGGAGGTGCCCCTCCCTCCCTGTCCTCGTGTCCTCAACCCAGGGACCACACACCACACCCCACACCCCATGCCTGTGGACTCACCTGGCTGCTATGGTGGGCCTTGGTCACTAGCAGCATTCGACCCACGAGGTCTGTGGTGGACACACCCTGGGTGCGTTTGCACTCTCTGGGGCAGAGGTAAGGCGGAGGTTTTCATCCAGGGTACACTCCTGAGGCTCTGCTACAGGCGGAACCCACCTGAGGGACACGACCCTAACCCAGTCCCCCCACCAGAGAACCAGACTGGGGCAGGTTCTCACATCATTGGACTATGCAGTGTAGCACACGTGGGACACAGCGGCTCTGGTCTCTGTCACCCTGCTATACATTCTCTGTATACATTCTCTGGGATTCAATGGAATCCCAGGCTGCTCTGTCCCCGTGGTCACAGCTGGCTCTTAACATTAGTTAATTAAAGCAAAAAGCCAGTTCTCCAGGGCAGCAGTGACACTGCTCAATCTATGGATGCCCTATCAAGAGTGCCGATCGAGAATGTTAGCACCCGTGCAAAGCTCTGCCTGACAGTACTGCTCAGGACTGGCCACACAAGGTCACCAGGTCACCCCACAAGCATTCCTTCCTGTATCTGTCAGTCCTAACTGTGGGCCCAAATGCCTTGCAGGCTACTTCAAAGCAACAAGGAGAGCTGGGAAGGGATCCACTTGAACATCACTGGACCTACCTGTACCTCCCAGCCTGCTTCACTTCCTCGTAGGTATCTCGGCCATCTACTGTCAACGTGATGTCATCTAGGGGTGACATGCACACACACAGGATTTGTTTTTGAGAGAGAGAGAAAGATGATGTTGCTATGTAGCCCAGGCTGACCTGGACCTTGTTTTTCGAGACAAGGTTTGTCTGTGCAGCTCTGGCTGTTCTGGAACTTACTTTGTAGACCAAGCAACTTAAGAGACCTGCCTACCTCTGCCTCCCACCTGCTGGGATTAAAGGCTTGAGCCGCTATAGCCCAGCTGACTTGGAACGTTTAATGCCCCTGCGTCTGCCTCCCCCGTACTAGGGCGATGCGTATGTGCCAGCCATCACACTGGGCTCATAAACTTAAGGATTCTTAGCTCTAAGCACTCTGGCCCTTTCATTTCTGCCACTGCTGGAGGGATGGACCTGGATGGACCCAGAGCCTTCTTGTGTCTGCATGGGATGAGGAGCCCCCTATCTCTGAGATGCTGTGGGCTATCAACCCGTCTGAAAGAGCCCAGCCCCCATCTCCACACCCCACCCACTCACTGCCATGAACACAGAAGTCACAGTTGTATTTGTCCAGTGTCTCCAGTGTGGTGACGTAGGGAGCAGCGGGTACCACTTCATCCACCCACTTGATGGCCTGTACCATCTTGTACCTCTCTTCCTGGGTAAAAACTGGGGGCCCCTTATGCTTGGCAATCTCCTCTAGGGACAGAGAAAAGAAAAAAGGACAAAACAAGACAAATGATGTCTCCAAAGCCCAGTCCTTAGGAGCCTCTATCACAGAGCCAAGCAGGGAATAACCACACAAGTTCAATGGTCCATTTCTCCTAGCTTTAGCCCACAAGGCAGGACCCCATGTAAAGAGCATGTGTGCTCAGGGAATCTGCTGGTTAACAAGGATGGCCTATAATCAGGAAGAGCAGTCAGCCTCTTCTGGTCTCAGGAACTAGAGTAGGGGCAGACAATACAGCTGAGGACACTGTCCAGTGCTCTCCCTATCTGGGACCAGGCTGGCTCACTTCCTAAACTGAGTCACCACTGTATCCTGGGGAAGGATGCAGGGATCCTTCTGCCACTCCCCCTCCTTTGTCCCCTGGGCCCTGCAGGCTTGGTCAGTTGGAGTAGGTCCCAGGCACAGCAGCCCACACCTTACCATCAGTGTGCACACCCACGATGAGGTAGTCCCCCATGGCACGTGCCTGGCGAAGCTGATTGGAGTGACCATAATGCACCATGTCATAGCTGTGAGGACAAACAGGGCAGTCAGGTCCAGGACTGATCTTGACAGGAAACCGGGGGGCCTTGTGCAGGACACAGCACTGGAAGCCCTCTGGGGAGCCCTGCTGGGGGCTACTAAACCAATCCCCTGGATATTGGGCTTACAGAGGGAAAGTTGGTTCTCAGTTGTCCATACCCTGGATACTGGACTTAGGGCAGGACTCAGTTAGTGCCAGGTCTAGCAACAGTGGCAGATTCAGGGATGGGGCCTGGTAAGGTCGAGTGAGTTCCCAAGACAGGACAGTCTCTCTCTCTCTCTCTCTCTCTCTCTCTCTCTCTCTCTCTCTGAGTTCCCAAGACAGGACAGTCTCAGTCTCTCTCTCTCTCTCTCTCTCTCTCTCTCTCTCTCTCTCTCTCTCTGAGTTCCCAAGACAGGACAGTCTCAGTCTCTCTCTCTCTCTCTCTCTCTCTCTCTCTCTCTCTCTCTCTTTCTTTCTCTCTCTCTGCTTTTTTTTTTTACAGTGTTTCTCTTTCGCTCTGGCTGTCCCGGAACTCACTGTGTAGACCAGGCTGGCCTCAAACTCACAGAGATCCTCCTGCCTCTGCATCCGGAGTGCTAGGACTAAAGGTGTGCTCTGTACTTTTTTCTGAAGATAAGATCTCTTGTAGCCTAGGCTTTACTAAATATGTAGCCAAGAATGACCTTGAACTCCTGACTGGGAGGATTACCACAAAAACCCTTCTCTTTGGACGCTAGGGAATAAGTGCAGGGCTTTGTACATACCAGGCAAGCATTCTACTAACTGACCTACATCCCCAGCCCACAAAATAGAAGAGCTTGTCCAGGATTTGAACACGGGACTCTTCCAACCTAAACAAGCATCATATCCCCATATCAACAAGCCACACTCAAGCTTTGGAACAAGAAAACAGGCCAGAGTTAGGAGCAGACTCAGGTTCCCCACCCCCATCCACATGGTCTGGCTTAGCTCTCTGAGAGAACAAGTGCCTGTCACCCGGTTCTGGAGCTTTTATCCTCAAGTCTAGGTCCCCGCCATGACTACACTGTCAAGGTCAAAGCTACCCAGAACCCAGCCACACGCTGGGCACTGAGGTGGACCAGTGTGCACAGTGCACTGGGACCCCCTGTACTCTTCTCCATGGGCCAGGGCTGGGTCAGTCTCTGCTCAGCTTCCTCCAGAACTCCAGTGGGGTGTCATCGGGTGACCTGAGCAGCCCTGTATAGCCACCACAGTACAGAGTGGAGGCAGGAAAACACGACCCTGATAGGCTCAGGCGCCACGGTAAATTCTGGGCCAGCCCTTGTGCCCACTAGACAGGCAGGGCAAGATCAGAGGTCAGAGTCTGCATCTGGCTTTACGGCACAGGATTGTGGGTGGCCCGGGCCATAGTCCACTGACACGGAGTCAAAGCCGCTGCTGGTGACTCGGTGCAAAAGGGCAGGAGGCTGAAACTGTAGCTCAGCGGTGGAGCACTGGCCTAGCGTGCACCAGGCTACGGATCGCATCCTCATCAGGACAGCCAAGCCAAAACCAAACGGGAAATGCACCAAGTGCAGCCTGCCGCCGCCAGCCCAGACCCGGGAAGCGCTAGTGAGCGTTCCGCATCCCTTGCCATCCGCCAGGGGCAGGCACGACCCAGGGCTGACGGCGGCCAGCGGTAGGAAGGCCCACATCCCTCCTGCTTGTTGACAGTTCGCCACTTTCTTAAGGGAGGAGACCATGGCCTTCCAGCCCCGGTGACCTGGCCAATGACTACCGCGGACGGACGGACGGACGGACGGACAGCCG